GGAGCGATTGCGCTGCGAGGACATTGTGCCCCTTATCCCATGGTGTCAGCCCGTGTTGTGCTGTGAGGCTGGAGCTGTTGCCAAGAAACCAAATTAACTTGCTGTGAACTTCCACGCGGCTGTGACAGAGAAGTGAAGAGCTCAGAGGCTGTGGCACATGTGCACCACTTACTGCAGCTTTACAACTCAGAAGCCTCCAATGTACTGTACGATACAGCCGGCTGCAGTTTAAAGATCGTTTAAGATTCTGCACTGAAAACATAAGAGATCGGAAAATGAACTGACAATTAATATCTGTTTAGTTTTAATAGTTCCAGCTTCTCAGGTGTAACAATTTGTGGCTTTTAATTGAAACTATTTTAAAATAATAATAATTTAATCATCAACTAATGAATTAATAATTATTATTTTTATTTGGCTTTTATTTATGTCTTATGTGATAGTATTATTTATGTACAGTACTGTGTGTCAGCTGTTTGTTTTTAAAGTGCTTTATAAATAAAGATGATGATGATGAAAAACATATGGTGTTGATTTTACTTTAGCCCTCTAACACTGTCTGACTCCATGCATTTATATTACCTGCAGTAAATCCCATCAATCACTGAACTAACCAAGAACTAACCAACAACTAACCAAGAACTAACCAACAACTAACCAACAACTAACCAACAACTAACCAACAACTAACCAATTCATGTATAAAATAGCTAACAGTTTTGATTTATTCTCGTCGTGCAAAAATGAATTCTTAACTACACGTTAAGCTTCTGTGCTAGTGTGACTTTCATATTTATAGTGTGGATTTTATTTAGATTTAGCATTTACTATCTTATACATGTAAGTAACATTTATTTTTATAGCAATTTTCTAGATGAGGCTCACAAAGTGCTTCACCACAATCGACCAATAAAAACACAAATATTAAAAGGAAACAGTATCCACCAGTCAAAAGTGAGCCTGTGCGAATAAAGCTTGAGCTGCTCACAGGTCTCATAGTGCGGACACCATCATCACACACACTTTCTCCTTTAGTTTTCAGCCAGTGAACAGAGAACAACAGCTGGTTTGGTCAAAAGATTTCAGTGACCTGCATGTTAGCTGTGGCTCTAAGACACAGGTGTCCAACTGCAGGCCTCGAGGGCCGGAGTCCTGCAGGTTTTAGACGTGTCCTTGATCCAGCACAGCTGATTTAAATGGCTAAATTGCCTCCTCAACATGTCTTGAAGTTCTCCAGAGGCCTGGTAATAAACTAATCATTTGATTCAGGTGTGTTGACCCAGGGTGAGCTCTAAAACCTGCAGGACACCGGCCCTCGAGGCCTGGAGTTGGACACCCCCGGTCTAAGAGTTTGCTATACTGTAAGCAGGTGTTTGACCGATCAGAGCCCTGAAAGTGATCACCAAGATGTTAAACTGAAGTCTGAACTTCATGGGAACAGATGTGCAAAGATGACAAAAAAGGTGTCAGATGAGAACACTTAGTAAGCTGTAACTTGGACCAAAAACGCCTTACAGTGACTTACAGTAGTCTGACTGTGTGAAACAAAGGCCAGCATTCGACTGAGGCGGGTAATATTTCCTAAATGAAACAACTATTAAAATATCTTCATCAAAACGAAGAGCCTGGTCAAATGTATGTGCCGACTGCAAATACAGATTTTGCAAATTCAGGACATGTGACTCTGCTACATGTGAGCTCAGTTAACCCTGGGATTATTGCCGCTGACACTGGAGAGAGATGGGATACGCCCAGAAAGTCCATCATGAGGATTGCGATCCCAAAGAATGACTCGAATCCACCCGGGCCTGCATGTTGTTAATCTGCTGTGATCCATCTTCATGCTTGCTGCAGATGTTTAAATCACAATCATTAATTGTGCCGTGCACATCTCGTGAGACTGTTGTACTGTGTGTTCATCTATTAGTAGGTAGTTAGCAGAAACAGCTGACTTTAAGCTGCCTGATGGAGTGTCTTCATGAAGAATTTTAGTGATGATATGAAATGAAAGTGTGAAGTTGGCGCCGACACTTGTTTGAAATCGCACCTCCTGATGCCAAACTACGTCACACAGATTCCTACTGCAGACTGCAGTAAACTAAACATCCATTCATCAGACTGACACGTTTCAGCCTGAGCGAGGTGTCTCGACTGAGATAATAAATATTTAAAGTCCTCCTCAAACGTGTGTTTGACTTTGTGCTACACCACTTTGATGTCTCGCTTGAATGACGGATGTGCAAAAGTTTCACTTTGTCTTTTAAATACGCGTGTCATCACTCTGGGCTTTTTAAGAAGGAGAAAGGTGTAAATGTTGTTTATTCCATGCTCCAATCCAGCTCCGTGAGCTCAGGCACGCTGACACTCACCACAGCTCTTTTATGATCATGTAATCAAAGGTTCTTCAAAAACAGATGTTCTCACATTCAGACTCTTTGACTGTAATATAGGGTGTACGGCACGCATACGGCACACAGTATGTGCAGTATTTGGCATTAGACTTAAACATATTAATTCATAAGCCATTTCCTAAGCCATTCGTAAGCGTTTCCTGTGTACTCTCTTTGTGTAGCAGAGATTTCTCGACTGGTTTCTTTATGGTTACTTTGTCAGTGTAGTTTTGCTACGTATTACAGTCTAGTTTCTGTTTTTGTTTTAACTCCGTGAGTTTCACTTTGTCCTGCTCCCCCGTGTGTCTTCTTGTTAAGTCCCTGTCTCTATGTTAGTTTTCTTTTGTTGTGTTACTTCCTGTTTGATTTTGTTAGCAGTCGTCGCCTGTGTCTTGTTCCTTGTTTTACTTCCCCCTTTCTTGCTGTCCTTGATTAGTTTCAGCTGTGTTTAGTTCCTTGTCGGCCATTTAAACCCTCCGTTTGCTTCTGTTCTTCGTCACATTGTACTATCTGTTCCCTGCTTGTTCCTGTAGTCCTTATAACTTGTTTAGTTATTTGTTTCTCTTAAAAGTTAATTAGCTTTAATAAATGACTTAATTTGTCTGCAGTTTGGGTCCACACTCTTTCACACACCGGTTAGTGTTTCCTTTGGAGGTACAACGACAAAAAGATGAATGCGAGCAAACACAAAAATAATGTTTCCTGCTGAGTTGAACCCTCTTGTGCATTTCCCTACCAGTACTGCTATTAAATGAAGACTTACGTCAGCTTAAACGTGTCTTAGAGGACATGATGGATCCACTGCAGCAAAAGGCCTGATACCAATTGGATGGAAGGCTGAGCTTTGCCCTGCCAGCAGTGCACATAATTAGATATATTGATTATGGCGTTATCTGTGACTAGGAGGATCACTGGGTGCACATAGGAAGCAACTGCAAAGTGTTTCATTTAATAAACCTTTTCAAAGTCTGTATTACACAGTGATGCTAAGCTTTCTAAACACCTTGAGTCTCAACAGGAAGGTCAGCTGGGCTCTGAGTGCTTATGCCAGATGCACATTTCATGCCTCATAACATGCTCCATATAATTTTTACCAAAATATTAGGAATGATTTTATTACTGCACTAATACTTCACCCCTACTATTTTTGACATTACATAACAATTATATGGAGTATCTTATGGGACATAAAATGCACATATGGCATTTTACTATTTCTTTCTAATATTTCCCTACTGGTAGCTGCATTGTGCTACATCACACACCATCTCTCTCTTCTTCCACTGGCCACCTGACCTCCTTGAGACCATTCGATGCTATTGCGGTACAGTACTGAGCCAACTCATTCTCTAATATTTTGCTTCCAAGGAGCCAGACCTGTAAGTTCTTTAATGCTGAGCTGAAGCTCTTCAGTTGTTCTTACTGTTGTTTGTTAATCCACTTAACACTGACTTCAGAATTGTACAAAAGGCGTAAGACTCAGTGGATGAACCAGTGATAATGCCAACCATCACAGTTAACAGGCATGAATAGTATGTTTGCATAAACAAGATCATTTCTAACAGCTATTAACTTAGGGCGGCCATATTTTGATTTCCAAAAAAGAGAAAACTTGGCTCACTCATGAAGAACTTTCTTAAAGAAACATAAAATCGTTCCGGGCATTTTGACTAGAGACCGGCCCCCCAGGTATGAAAGCCATAACCCTAACCCGCTGTGGTGACAGTGATGTACAGTCTTGTTGGTATATGTGTGATTTCTATACATTTTACATCAGATAAAAACTTTCAGATGATTATTTATCAAAAGTGAAACGTTTTAAATGAGAATAAAGAAAAGTATTTCTGAGTTATTTTTATACATCGGCCAGCATCTGGCCAATCCACCACCTTTCATTGTTTATACCGTTTATACCGGTATGCCCGATGGCCATGTCAGCTATGGTCGTTAGGAGGGAAATTTCTTTTGCAGTGAAAGAAGGACTTGCGCTTTGGGGTCGTTTAAACATCATTTGGCGCGTTCCTGTGCGCTGTCTGTGAGCGCAGAGCACGCGCCCACAAAGCAAGTTTGGGGATGACGTCACACACGGGTCCTCTGGACATTTTTATCAGTCTCGAAAATCCCCACGGACAGAACGTGAAAAGAGGACATGTCCGGGGGAAAGAGGACGGTTGGTCAGCCTATATTAACTGAAAACTTGACATAGTTCACCACTGTGTGCAGTGCGTCTTTTTCTTTAGTAGAGGAAACTGGACAAGTAGAGGAAGAAAAAGAAGAAGTGGCAAACCTTAAAAAACCCTCTTTAACAGTGTCTGCAAGCCACGTCCTCAAGAAATGGGGAAAACATCCGGTAAAAACCCGGACACAGAGCCTGAGAGCATCCAGTCCTTCAGCTGATCACCTGCTGTTCGCTGAAGTGCTCTTAGTGATAGGGAGGCAGTTATTTCATAGATTCAGCCAAAGAAATGAGAAGAGCTGGATGTTTTACCAGCATCCGGTGGTAAGTGTGGGCCAGCAATTAGACTGTGTCACCGACTGCTTCTCTTATCTCCACTAATGAGTCAGACCTTCCCTGGAATTTTGTTTCTGGGGAAACGAAGCAGGATGGCCAGCAGAGGCGCTAATCACACTGCTGTACACACAGTGTTAGATGGATGGATGATTATGGCAGCTCCACATCTGTGCTTATAAACCCGGTGATCTAATCCGGGACACACATGACGCTTTATTCTATAACGCCAGGAGTCTGGCTGCTTTGTGTGAGGTGAATAGTGACCAGTAGCGCCAGTATCGGAGTTTTCCACGGCCGGCGGCACCGACTGGCCACGCTGCGGGAACAGGGCGGATCTTAGGACCCGTGCTTTCATTCCTCGTCGAATAACAAAAAGTTAGGGGGGCGCTCGGCGTGCTGTGGACGTGCTACACAGCAGTCAGAGTGTGTCAAAGTGTCTGTGGTCAGCCCCTTTGCTGCTGCTGCTGTGCTCCCATTGCAGTGGTGCAGCACAGTCAGCTGCAGGGCTGCGTGTGTGTTTGTGTGCGCGATCTGCCGCGGGGTGTCTTCACTACTCTGTGGCTGCACTGTAAACAAACCGAGGCGAGTGTAGGCTGGTCCGCCCGTGCTTTCCGGAAACGATGGTGCAAAACACGGGACACACCTCGGGTCAGCAGCCACACGCAGAAGCCCGACGAGGTGCCCGTCTGTGAACAAAAGGCAGCGAGGAGAGCGACTCGAGCAGGCACCGCGCGGGACAACCCTCTGAATCCGGGGCTCGAGCACGCACCAGCGCTCTTTTTCTGTTTTGTGGGTAAGTGAAACTTTTTCCTCTAAATCCTCGCGTGGTGTGTTCCCGTCGGGTTTCAGGGCAGTCGCCGTGGTGTAACACAGGTACGCTGGTGTTGTTGTGCAATGCAGATGGAGCTCCCCGCACGTGCTTTCTGACCGTGTTTTAATGATGTTCAGTGGATCGCTCGCGTGGGTCACTGCAGTTTGTTGCACTGAATTTTAAGCGCTTTTGCGCCCTCGAGCTGGAAGCTGCACCGAAACGCAACGTTGCGTGACGTGCCGCTTATTTGTGTCACGCACCTGGCAGAACATGATGTGGCCTTGCACCAGACACACGACGTTTGTCAAGAATCTAACTGTGCAAACCAGAAACTTAGATCCCAGGGTTACTGTGGAGGGCCCGGTTTTAGCCCAGTTCCACACTGGTATGTCTCATGCGATCACAGGTTTCCCCCTGTGAGCCACAAGCTGTAATTATTTATTGATTAGAGAGCCAGCAGAAGATGAATCCTCGAAATGAACACGTGTGAGTTTGAAGTCCTCATTTGTGGAATTTAAGGACTAAATTTCACTGCTTGCAGCCTGTCAAATACGAGGATCATATGTTAGAATTCAAATGTCATTGAAAGGACAAGCTGACTAAATGTGAACTTTGTCCTGCGGTTAATGATATAGTTGCAACGAACGGTGCTCAGCAGGGCACGTCTGCCTGCACAGCGTGGATGAGACAGGACCCCACTGTCAGATCTCATTTTAAGATCATTAAAAGATTTCAGTCTCACCTGTAGCTCAGAGTTAAACTTCTCCCAGTTTTGTTGAGTGTGATTGAAGGAGCTTCCAACTGGAGCGCAGAACACTTTGCATTGACAAATTACGAGGTAAGAAATCATCTACTCAACCAGAGCTGAGGAACTTTGAGCTACACAGAGACTGGGCTTTCTAGACACATTCATTTTGACCTGCCTGCACTCGTTGTGACTGTCGTACCAGCTCATAAGGCTTGTTCTGAGATCTTATCCCTAACAGCAGGGAGCCACTCGGCTTGCCCGGAGAAGGACTGTTTGCTCTCACGCTTTATGAGGCACACGCCTGAATTTTTGAAGTTGCTTGAAGGATAGCTTCCAAATGAACAGATTCATTCGGTGGTACACCTTGGAAAAACAATCAGCGAGTGGCTGAATGACACACAAATAGTTGCAGAGTCGTCTCTGACTTCCTTCCTAACCCCAGCCTAAACAATTAGTCAGGCATGGTGTTTACTCAGCGCAGAGAAAACCAGTTTCTGTTTGGCTTGGTCGACACTATGATGACTTGAATCCCCGCAGGCACAGTAACTAAATGGTAAATGGCCTGTATTTATATAGCGCTTTACTAGTCCCTAAGGACCCCAAAGCACTTTACACATCCAGTCATCCACCCATTCACACACTGGTGATGGCAGCTACATTGTAGCCACAGCCACCCTGGGGCGCACTGACAGAGGCGAGGCTGCCGGACACTGGCGCCAACGGGCCCTCTGACCACCACCAGTAGGCAACGGGTGAAGTGTCTCGCCCAAGGACGCAACGACCAAAACTGTCCAAGCCGGGGCTCGAACCGGCAACCTTCCGATTACAAGGTGAACGCCCAACTCTTGAGCCACAATCGCCCTAAAGTGACTTCAGCTGAACTGGCCGGAGGCTCTGTTGCAGCGGTGCTGACGTATTGCGAGTTTGGTTCCTGAGCAGCTCAGCTTCCCTCTTTTGGGCTTATTTAGTGTTTGTTTTTCTATGCAGCACTTTTTGCACTGGATCCCAGGAATGGAAGCTGGAAACAGCTTTTTAAATGGTTCTCCAGTTTGAACAAAACATGTGCACAGGTGATGGCTGCATTTTGGTCTTTGTCAAGTGATGTGCCCAAAAATGAGCCATGCATTGCCAAGAGTTGTTTGTTTAGAAGCATATTGCAGATATACTTTGATTAAAACAAGATCTTATTTCATTATTTGCTTTTGCACGGATTGCTTCGGTTTTCCTTGCACGCTGCTTTTTTCCCCACTGAAGGTGCCGATGGCTTAAACTGGAACCATAGCAGAGACACAGCTCAGTGACTAAAAAGGAGGACATGTCAACAGCTCCCAGCTCCTTCAGCCCCTCTGGGAAATTACTTGCATGAGGCTGGGAGGAGAAAGAAATATGTATTTTTTGTGTGTGTGTGTGTGTGTGTGTGTGTGTTACCATTAGTGTTTTAAATAAATCTTAAAAAGATTTACATAAAGGCCTGAACATCGTTCTGCGTCGCTCTGTGACTGCTCGCAGCTGGTTGGAGATGACGACCACTTGACCCTGCAGCTCGTCATTTTGGATCATTTCTGGTCATTAAGTGTCTGTAGAGCTTCAAGTAGCATCGTTTGATCAAATCAAGGCCTTTCTGTTTGTTTGCATGGTGGTGTGTCCGCTGCTCACTGTAAGAGAGCCCGGTGATCATCATCAGGTGGAGATGAGCTACACCTCTACATGTTTGTGTGTGTCAGCCATGAAGGTTCACAGATTTGGATCCAAATGGAAATCTGTGCCTGACCTTTGACCTGGACTGGTGAGACATTATTCTTGGGATTTGATGCTTTGATATTCAAATAAAGCCTCTATTTAATACACGAAGAAGTTCAGTTACACACAGCCTTTGTTCTTGGGTTGTTGGGTCTTTCAGGAGACATCAGCCATAATGAGTCATTTTGCAGGAGATGGAGCTGTATAAATACTGTCACAGATAGTGACAGTAGTCTTCCTCACCAGAGATATAAGACAACTCATTACGTGCATCTCAAGTGTGTTTTCCAGTCTGGAGAGTGACGCTCAGGCCTATTTGTATCCACGCCAAAGAGCGCTTTATTTGATGTCTCGCAGGCTTTCATGTTACAGCTGTGAGGAGCGAGCAGCAGCTGTACTCGCTGTAGTGATTCTGCCTCCTTTGTAGAAGCTCCCGGTGTAATGTTGCAGAGTTTCACTCTGTCAGAACGACTCTAGCGGTGTAGGATGAATAGACGCATGAAGTAATTGTAACAGGTGAGCTCTCCAACAGGGCTGAGATGACCGAGTTAAAGCAGGTTAAGACGAGTCTGTGTCCCGCTCTGTTTTATGTATTGTTTCCTGTTCCTGTTGATGGTGCTTTCTGGATATTGGTCACTTATCAGCGCGGTACAACGCAGGGCGTGGTCTATATCCTGCTAATTCATATATTGAAGATTCAACTTACAAGTCTGAACAATGAAGCCAACATGGAAACACTAATAACTGCAGTTCCTCCACAAAAAGTAAGTCAGTGCTCTCAGACTCCATGTTTAAGCTAAACTAGCAGTGAAAAACATCTTTACTTTTACTCGCTATACCTAACTGTGTATGCTGCAGTATTGTTTGGTTTGGTCAAATTGAAGTATTCAATCATATTGAAAAACAAATCGTTCCATATGCATCTTTATATGCTAAAACAGAGTAGCTCCAGCCCACAGCTTGGTACTTGCTGGGTTTGCAGTTTGTCACACAAACTAATTAGATTAAAAACGAGGAATCTCCATATTTAGGATAAGTGCTCAAAATCAGTGAATGATGACATCAAGCACAAACTTACAGGCAGCCTGAGCTGCATTCTTGTGTGCCGAGCTGGGCTGCTCAGATCATGATGGTCTGCACAGAGTCAGTCAGAGAACCAAACACAGCTAACACTGAATAAAAGGGTGGGTGAGGTAAAGAGACACCCCCCCCCCCTTTTTTGCTTTATCCTCCAGATGACATTTTAAATGTCAGCCAACCTAACAGAAAGATAATTGTGAAACTTTAGGTGCAGGTAGCAAGTTGTGTTATTTTACTTTTTAGAGGCGAGAGGTGTAGAAAGTGAATCCTCATTAGTTCATTCGGCACCTGGCACGCAGCTATATCTGCATATTGGCCTTTATCATTCAAAGCACAATCAGTAAGGACTCCAGGGGTCCTCAGATCTCTCAGTTAACCTCATCCAAGTGCTAGCCTGTACTCCACCCCACTTGCACTTCTCGCTCGTTCTCATTAGTCTGTGTATGAGAGACAGTGGCACATCTTAAGACGGCCAAAATGAAAGTATTGATTAGTATGTTTCTGTGGCTTTCCTGAAGCTTTGGCTGCGTAACCACATTGTGATTTTACAGAAATCCATACGGTTCGATATAGTAGTACTCTTAGAAAGACACGTTGTTGTCAGACTGGCAGTATGACAGCAATGCAATAAATTTGTTTCCTAGAAAAATAACACAAGTAGCTCTTAAATCCCTGTAAGTTGTGTCTGTATTCATGTCCTGCTAACGTCATTCTCTCGCACGGTCCCAGGGCCGGGGAGCTAACTGAAATAAATGTGTGGTTGAGTGTGTGCCTGCCCTCTGGAGACGCTGATCTATGCTGAAAACTCCCCTGCAAACCCCGACATCGGCTTTCCCTCTGCAGCACTGGTCACAGCGAACACCTTTGGGTTTAGCCTTACCTGCTCTGAGCACTCGCCACCTGTTCCATATTTTTAGCTCACTTCATTTCCTTAAAGAGGGCCTGACAGTACACAGGGAGATACTCGTTTAAAGTGAAATGGTACAAAGATAAAAATAGTTAATGCATATCTCAAGTTATTTCAAGTGAATGCCCACACACTGGCAGAAGGTTCTGTCACCCAACCTACATGTGGCAGCTATGTGAAACATGTAGTAGTAATGAGACGGGCTTAAACAGATGGTATTGTCTTTGTTTACATCAATTTTCAAGTGATACATGGGTGGACTTGGGACCAGGTATGTTTTGCACTAAACAGGGGGTGTTTGGCATGCTTCAGCTCCTAAATAAATGGATTGGTTCCATGTCGATATAGATGGAAGTGCCTGCTTTGCAGTCCCTG